ATAAAGTGGCCCGCTTAGCTCGAGCAATATATTAAAGAAACAAATTAACCCAAAGTTGGCCTTTTTGTCCAAAGGAAGCCATTTTCCTCTGGCGCTGTGGCAATTACGTGCCGTCTTCTGTCCAACTGCATGTTATTCACAATTGTTATTAAATCTGTCAAAAGTGAATTTTGGGGTTTTTTTGTCTCATGGGTTTTTTTGTTGTTGTTGTTTTAAGGGGGGGGGAGCAAATTGAGCCTGCCTGAAGCTTCGGAAAGCCTCTATTGCATCCACCCTACCTAAAATAGCATCCCTGCAGCCCCCGAAAGCCCCCTGGCTGTGTGGTGGTGGTACTTAACTGAAGACCAAGGATAGGGGGCCTTCCGCTGCCACCTCCCACCTCGAAGGAACTGGGAGACTGGTGGAGGCGGCAGAAGGTTGTGGCCAGGACTCAGGCTGACAAAGACCGGGCAGCCGCCCCAGATGTTAACGATAGAGGAATCCTGGCCGCAACAGGGAAAGACTGGGGCCCCGGCAGCCTTTACTACCTCGGGAACAGGCGGTCCAGGTGCTGAAGGTGAAATGTCCGCAGGCGGCTGTTTGTTTAGTCTGGCGGGGCAAGAAGCAGCCAGCAACCCCCACTCGGCTGCTTTCAAAGCGGCTTCAGCAGAGCAAACTCGCCTGTTGCTGTGAGGAGCCCTCCTTTCTGCTCAGTGGGCAGCAGGAGCACCTTCCCCGGGGGCCTATCTAGGGAGCTGCCTTTTATCTGCGGCTGAGCCTCCCATTGCAGCTTGTCCCCTGCCAGCAGTAGGAACTTGAGGCCAGGGCCTGGAGAGACCTTAAGGGGACTTAGGCTGAGACTCCAGATCCTGTGGTGAGCCCCTTTCCTCAATTCGGGGCTCTGGTGAGGGGGGATTGCAGGCACTGTGCCTGACTCACCCCCTGCCTTTCTCCCTCCATAGGTGGCCAACGAACCCGCAAAAAGCGATGCCCCTATACCAAGTACCAGATAAGAGAGCTGGAGCGAGAGTTCTTCTTCAGCGTCTACATCAACAAAGAGAAGCGCCTGCAACTGTCCCGAATGCTCAACCTCACCGACCGTCAAGTCAAAATCTGGTTTCAAAACAGAAGAATGAAGGAAAAAAAAATCAACAGAGACCGTTTACAGTACTACTCAGCTAACCCACTCCTCTAAGGCTCCAGCCTTCTGGAAATGGGTGGGGGGGCTTCATACATATGAGATCATATGCAGATTTTGCCCTTGACAAGGTCAAGCCACACAGTGACTTTTGAAAAAAAAGGAGGTGTACAAGAGAGGGGAAGAAGCTGCACCAAGATAGCTCAACAGGAGGGGGCCTGGGATTCTCTTGGTTAAGATCTCAATGGTTAAGTTTCCTAATAATAATTGGATTCTGGGAGTTGTGCATTCACTAGAATGAATGGTTTGGGACCCCTGGTGGTTCATTCTTGGAGCCTGTAGAGCCTGAGGCTGGGTGTGGTCTCCCCCGGGGGACTAGGCCTCCTGACAGGGCCCCTGGAGACCAACCCCTCCCAGGACCCTCCACACAGAGCCTGCCCTACCCTAGGACTCCTAAGTCAAGAAGCTGTGTGCCCTCCAAGCCCAGTTCAGCTTGAGGACACAGGGCAAGGAAAGGGGAGGATTCCTAGATGCCCAGAATGAGGCTGCTTTCCAAAACCAATGTGAAAGTCAGTTGAACTAAGAAGTAGCTATGAGGTGGAAGAAGGCTGAAAATCCTTGAGGGAAAAGAAATCTACTGTCCAGGTGGTGCTGGTGTCTTTCTATCCCTCCTAGCTACTCACCATGCTGTTCCAAGCCTAAGCTCCTAGCAGTCACCTCCTGCAGCCCACCTGGATTTTCTTCCTGCCAAACAGGGTTCTTCTTCCCAGCCTGCTGCTCAGGCCCAAAGCCTGGTTGCAGAGTGGACTATTCCCTGAGGTGGAAGACATGAAAAAGCAGAGAGGCTGCACCCAGGCCGCTGGCCCCTGAATCTCCACAGGAAATGCCTGTGGAGTGCAGCAGTTTGGCAAAGTCTCCACCACATTTAATGAAGCTTGGACTTGCTCAGTGTGGGGCAGCAGAGCAGCTGGCCTGGCCATCAGGTCCTAGGATATGGCTATGAGGGGCTGGAGTCCCCCATAGTCCCCGTTTTTCTTGCCACTGTCTGCTCTCATTGGCTCAGAACTGAGCTTGGAAGCTTCCGGCGGCCTTCCAAGAGCTGGAGAATGATTTGGAATTATTTTAAATGATAAATATTATATTATATTATATATATATTTCCCTGAAGGAACCAAAGCGAATTTTAAAAGATGCAATGTAGAAGGGGTAAAATGAAAATATTTAAAGGCTCTAACTGTTTACAGTGTTCCACGGTTAAACATGCTCACTGCTAAGAATATTTGAATGTACGCTTCATACAGGGATGGTGTTCAAAAGACTTGTAAATAAAGAAACCATAACCTAATTTGTTTGAATACAGTTTTGTTTTGTCATTAGGTGATTCCCTTTGGGATGTTAGAGGGTGGGGAAGGGTATTGAGAATGGTCTTTTTAATCTCTTGCAACATTTGGAAAGTGTTAGGGGATGTTTGGAGGCAGTTCAGCCTGCCAGGACCTGAGGACCTCATCTGAGAAAGCCTCCCTCTGAATCTTTTCTGCCTCCCTACGTTAAGAAGTGTCCAGTGGCTCTGTGTCATGGAAGGGCTGGCCTGTCCTGGATTCTTACCCACTGAATATGTCACAGCATATACAGGCAACAGGGCACCAGGAAAATAAAGACAGTGGAAACCTGAGTATTGGGTCCTGGTGTGACATTCCTCTCCTTGCTTGCTTTTTACTGCCAAATGTCTCCCCTCCCCAACACCCTTTTTACTACTAATAGGACAAGGTTATCAAGCCCCTCAGGGAATGAGGAGGTGACTGAATCAGAAATTTGGTACAATAGAAACCAATCTTAAGAAGCCAAGGTGGTTGATAAACCATGTCCTTGTGGAAAGTGGGCTCCTAGGGGTGGGATCTCAGGCTCTAGAATGTGGTACTTCATCTTCTCAGAGTAACCTCAGCCCTAGAGAAAGCCTTGGGGCCTAAAGAGGCCAATGGGCCTGACCCCAAGTTGCCCTTGCTTACTTCAGGATTGGGAGGCCTGAGTAGAACCCCTCTGGGATGCCCTTTTGATCCCCTTCAACAAGAAGGGAATCAGTCTGGGTACCAGAGCAGAGCAAATTCTCAAGAACCTCTAAGTGTGCTTTCTCCCCAGCTCCTAGATGAGGCAGTCTTTTCTTTGGGAGAAAAGATGCCAGTTTCCTCTTTGTTTGCTGCCTTTGAACTTCTGCCTTAAATTTGGACATCACCCATAACCTTGAGGGGCAGGGACGAAAGGACAGAGCCTTTTGTTGCCCACCCCACCCTCTCTCCAGCCACCCAGACAGGGCCAAAGCAGCAAAGATGGTCGCATTTGAAGAGAGGCCCCAGACCCTGCTCTGTTTGTTTGTTTGTTTGCCTAACTGGCCCGACAGGGGAAGCCAAGCTGAAAGGCCAGTAGAACAGACCCCTAGATGAATGTCTAGGTTGACAGACACACAGAGAAGAACAAGGGCCCTCCTTGGGGGGCTGGGAGGGGGGCTGGCAGGGAAGCCCGGATTTAGGGAAAGACTTCCTTTGGGATGGTTAAAGATTAACCAAAGTCTCTCAAGTTGCTAGATAGAGTCTAGCCAGGAGAACTGCTCTCGGGCGGGCGGCGGGCGGGCGCGGGTTTGATTTCTGAGCCCTATAAAAGCCCATCCTCTGATGGCTGTGACAATGTGGTCGTAAACCCGTCCGGGGCTGGCCAATTTGCATATTTGGAATGCGCCGCTATAAACCCGGCTGGGGTTTTGCAGCAATTTCTTAGATGTAAAAATGAGATCTCAATAGCAACGGGCTGGGCACATTCTCTCCTTCTGTCCTCTCTTCCTCTCTGCCGGGAGCTGGCTTCCCTCTCCTGGCTAGAGGCTGGAGACTGGAGCTCCGTCTGAGGCTAGTCGCGCAGCCGCCACGAGATGGCGCACTTCCGATCAATGTCAAAGCCGCCGGGGAGCCGGGAACCCCAGCGTGATTCTTGGCCTTTGTTTGCTTCTGATTCTAAGAGCAGCACGGTACATTATTTCACTTGTGCCGCTCCCCTTCGTATTAAAAGGTGTGTGTGTGTGGGGGGGTCACGCATAAGAAGTAGTTGGTGTAATCTAGAGCAACGTGCCTTCCCTAGGCCTCGCCGGCGTCGTGGCGCGGAAGAAGCCACTTGGCAGTGATTTCGGAAATGTGTCAAGGTAAGAGGACACAAGTTTAGCACTTTCACTATTGTATGGGTGGGAGTGAGAAGGTGGCCATTGTCTAAGCAGGGGCCGGGAACCTAACCGGGTTTGTGGGGTGACGCAGGAGACGTTCGTCCCACCACCCCCACTTCTCCCATCGCTCCCTAAGGTTGGAAAGCAAAAGGAGGCCTAAGTGAGAAAAGTTGTTGATTTTAGCTCCGAGCGCCAGGATTTCACCCAAGGAGGTCTTTTGATTTGGTGGAAATACTCCGAATAGGATGAGCGAGGGTGGGAGGTATCCAAGCTAAAGGGTTCCAGCCCCGCTGAGATAGGGAGCTATGAGGCAGGGGAGAAATTGGAGGACTGGGCAAACAGAAAGTTTCTACTCAAAACAATGGGGTGGTCTTCATCGGCAGCTCGCTGGAGCAGTCTTATTCCCTGGGGCAGACCGCCAGAGGCTGTTGGTTTCCTACTAGGTGAGGTCTGAGGTCTGCCTAGCAGACAAGGGAAAACCTTTGTTTCCAAAAAAGGCCAATTCGGTGAAGTTGCATTTGATTCTTAAGACTGCTGGAGAAGTCTTTGTATTGCTTATCTGGAATGTGCTGTTATAAACCTAGCTGGGATTTTGCAGCAATTTCTTAGGAGAGAGGGAGAGAGAGGGAGAGAGGGAGAGAGGGAGAGGGGGGGGGAGAGAGAGATCTTTTGAGGATTTTACAAATATGCAAAAACGCATTGGTAAATACCTATCCATTTTCAAAGCGGACTAGAGGATAAAGTCTGACCAAGGGGTCATTCCTTCAGGGCTGTCATAAATGGAATTTTAAATTATCAAAATGCTTACAATTTGGAGTCCAAATTAAAATTCCCTTTTCCTCCTGTATTTAAAATTTTATTTCAATATTTTAACAGTTTTTTGAAAGCATTATTTTCTTTTCCCAAATATGCAGTATGTGAGATTCTACAGGGAATCCTAGAAAAAGTAGATGTTGCCTCTCTACATGTATGTAAATTTTGCTTATTAGAATCACTAGTCTTTGTTGAGAATGGGATCCCAAAAAAAAAACTATGTCAGAAAAAGGCAGCCATGAAAAAAAACAAAAAAAAAACACCCAAACGGTGAGCGGCTCTCTGCACTAGGAGCTATTCCTACAACCTCAGATGGGCCTTTCGTTTCAAGGCAAGGGGTCATTTATTGTGGGCAAAACTAAGAATATTGCAATTTAAGGAGTGTGTGAAAAGGCCTCAACACTCCCCCACACAATGCGGGGAAGAGCTAGCTTGGTGGTTGGATTTAGAATAATTTTAAAGCTTGTTTAAGAATAGATTGCACCTGACCGGTTCAAAAAAGACACATTAAATATCCCTGGAACTGTTGACATTCTTAAAAAAAAAAAAAAAAGCCAACAGAAAAAGAACGTCATTGTTTTGGGAAATTTTTTAGTTATGCACAAATTCGTGAATTAGAGAAAACACAAAATTTTTGTTAATGCTGAATATGAAAAAACAGCATTCTTTCTTTATTTATTTTTTCCTTCTACGGAGCATCAACCCAACCCCTCAGCCTGCTGGATAATTCAGAAGCCAGAAAGTATTGAGAATGGCCTCCAGATATAAATTGTTTACTAGCTATCTCAAGCTAGGGAACTCATTATTTTTCCTGTAAAAGAACACAACTTGCTTTTCGTAATTTATTTCTCCTTGTTTGGAAGGGCCTACTCAGGAAGAGGAATCGGCTTCTAGTGAACTGCAAAGTAATTCTCCGCTAACGGGCTTGCATGTTCCACGGGCCTGATGTGTATCTCAGGCTCCGTGGAGGGACCCAGTGTTATCATCAGGTAGAAATGGGCAGTTTTTACTCCTGAATAAAACTTAGGCTCTGGCTGCCGCTGCAGAGGCGGCGGAACCGCAGCGGCACAAGCCTGGTGGAGGCAAGCAGGCACCCGGGGTTTCAGGTCAAAGGCATCCTGAGCAAGAGAAAGAAATTCAGGGAGGAAGGGTGAAAGGTAAGAAGGCAGACGGGCAAGAGGGAGAGACAGTGGACAGAAGGCGACCCATGCGGTAGTTGAATCGCTTTTCTTAATCTCTCCGGAATGGGAAACCTCCGGAAACCAAAGCGATCGATAAACGAAAGGAATATTTTATTGAGGAGGCTAACACCTAGAGAGGTCCAGGAGGCTTGGGGCTGGTCAGGAATACTCGGGGCTCCAGACCAACTCAGATGGCTGAGGAGGCACAAAGTAGCATTTAATTTGAGTTTCTGCTGCGTTGATTCTCTAGCTGGAACCAGCCACAGCAGGTCAGTCCGCGAAGGGAGCGAAGGGAACCAAGGGAGCGCAGCTGCGGGCTCTTCTTTCCTAACTCAACAGTCCCAGTGCGGGTGGGACCCAGGTCCTAGGCTAGAGAGGATCTTCCATACAAGCCTGCACACTTTTCCCTCCCTTTAATCTAAGTTCAAACTCAACATCCGATTGCAGGGGGTTGGGGGAGTCACGCTGGAAGAACTCATACCAACCACCGCAAAGGTCCATGAAGACCCAAGTGTCAACCCCAGGGGCTGTGATGCTGGTGGCAGGCCTTCCCGCTCCTTCACTCTTTAACAGGGGTCGCCTTTTGTAGCAGATGCAGTTTGTATGCTAAGCTAACTTTTGTAACCTTGTTGGCACGTGCAGGCTCCTGGATCTCATCCAGCATAGAAACCCATTTCGCGGTCCTACAGGGCCCTGGCCAAAACTAGCCTGAGGGGTGCCTGCAGCAGGGCATCAGGGTGTCTTACCAGCCAAATTGGCAGGGTCTCTGGAGAGCTATAGGAAAAGGCTTTGAGGGGTCTGTGAATTCCTTGAAAATGATGGTTGAATTGTGGGACTGCATAGATAGGCATTTTTCAGTGTAAGTCAGATTTGCCTTTTATTTTTCAGGGGGGTCCCTGACACCCTAAAATGTTAAGAAAGACAGGTTTACATCAATGTCTTTCACTTTATTTTTGTAGCTTTCACCATCTCAAACATACTCTCCAATGGCAACGGCCCTTTCCAAATTTGAGCCTGGAAAGTTGCTTTTTACATTGGATCCGGACAGGCAGGAAGCTGGGTCCTAATCCTGGCATGCTGGCCTGCTGGGGCTCATTCTCCTCAAAGAGCCTTTCTCACTCTTGCCACCTATACTTGCCACATGACCTTTCCAGAGAGGCACAGGCAGTGCTGAGGAGCAAAGTGTCTTTTTTGGGTAGCCCCTAGTTTTGTAGCATACCCAGGTGGCACTGCTAAACACAATTCCAGTGAGTTTTACCCTCTTATTGAGCAGAGCAGGGACCAGGCAGATCCCAAAATCCCAACGTAGGGCCCTAGGCTGCAGCCCTGTGAGCTCTTCAGTGCTCAGATTTGCTGGCTACTTAGGCATAGGGGGATGAAAATTTGTCTTGGCCTGGGGTGCAGGAACAACGCTCTCCAAGAGTGGAGAGTTAGCGATGTGTCAGCACAGTGTGGACCCGAGTCTTGATTCCGATTGTGCTAAGCAGCTGCTATAGCTTGAGGACTGAAGCTGGAAAAAAACTGGCTCCCTCAAGCTCTCCTCCTCTCTCATTTTTCTTTGTCCTTCTCTCCTCCATTCCTCTTTATTTTTCTCTCCACTATCGCCTTGTTTTGTATTCTGATACCTAGTCTGTGTAGAGCTGGTCATCACAGGGATGGAGGTAGAAGTGGCTGGAACACTGGATGACCATAGCAGTGGCATGGCCTCTTGGGCACCAATTATAAAGCAGCCACAATGGCAGCTGTTGGATTCTTAGAAACCAGAGCCTGGGCTGTACCTAGCTAGCTCTCTCGTGCACTCTCAGGATTCTCTCAGGATGCCTATCTCCTCAGGTTGAGTTCATCCTGGAAGGAAGCATAACAGACCACCCGAATGTAAAAGTCTTTCCCTGCCACTGGCAGAGAGGTCTGATTGCTCTACTTCCTGGGATCCCCAGGGTCAGTAACTCCAGCTTTAATTGAAGCTGGATGAGTAGCCAGCCTGGGTCATTCTGGAGACCTGTAGCCCACAGGTCAGGGGCAAGGCAGAGACCTCCCCAGTTCCACTGGATCCGGCCGGAAAAGGTCACATTTCCTGAGCCTGGTATGGAGGCCCACACTTGGGGGCTAGCGCCCCAGGCTGGCCATTTCCAATTGGCTAAGAAAGCACCCCTGAGTAGGATCCAGTCAATGTTTGTTGAGCAAAGGGTCTGGCTTGGAACTCTCCTATAAAAGGGTCACAGGCCCAGCTCAGTCGCTGAGGTAATAGATTTCTTCACCCTGGGCCTTGTTAAAATGTGCACACCTTAGGAGGAAGAACTGCCCCAGCCATAGGTTTGGAGAGGATGGAGTAAGAGAGGTGGGGAGAGGCAGAAGCTTAGTGATATCAGCTTTTATTATAGCCTCCAGGAACATAGGAATGCCATGGCCCAAAGGAGAGGAAACAGTGGCAGAGGTGTCTGCTGGGCACATTCCTCCAAGTTTCCCCTTCCAGGTCTCTCCATCCTAGAAGAACAAAAACCCTAGGGCCAAGCTTTCAGTTCTCTTAAAGGACCTGAGTATGGGATCTCCTCAGGGTGTTGGTGAGGGTGTCTGGACCTGGCTCTGGCCTCCTGTCTGGTGGGGAAAGTCTTCCAGCCAAGGATGCCAGTCACTTCCCATGCTCACTTACACCAGACCTCCAAGGTTCCCCAACAGGAGATGTATAAAAGGCAAGCCAGGTGAGCACTAAAGAGGAGTAAATCCTGACTGGATGAGCCCACAGGGTAGGACACTGTTGGAGGCTAAAGGATCAGGGATCAGCTATTGCATTTGGGGGAGTATTTGGTGTGAGATGTCAGAAGTATGGCAATAGCTAGCTTCCAGTTTACTCCAGACACTGTGAGGATCCCAGTGGCTTTGGGACCAGGTTTGCTACTTTGGGAAACCAGATTCCAGAGATGGGGCCACTTCCAGGTCCAGAGCTGAATAGGAAGAACGTGAGTCCCCGACAGGGTTCCTATATGTAGTCACAGGGCACCTGGGCCTAGTGGCCATTTCTGCAACAGGGATGGGAGCACCCAAGGCGGGCTGGGGTGCGCACCGTAAACACCCCACTTGTTAACTGCGCAGGGCCCAAGAACACTTCCAACAGACCCCCGCTTAGGGCTCACATCAGAATAGGGGCGGGGCGAGCCTAGGGCCAGGCCCCCACCAGCCACTTTAGGGCAACCCCCACAGCTCACAGCCTTCGGGCCAAGGTGTCAGGCGTGCATCTCCTGGCCCATCAATACAGATTACATATTTATATCAATCGCGGGCTCTGAGGGCGCCCTCGGAGAGCGGCCCTGCGCCTACGAAATCAAACTGGGAGTGGTCGCGCGGAAACTCTGGCTCAGGATTGGCTGCGGACGCCCGCCGCGGTGCGGGGGGATTGCTAATCGTATTCAGCATGTTTTGCACAAGAAATGTCAGCCAGAAAGGGCTATCTGCTCCCTTCGCCAAATTATCCCACAACAATGTCATGCTCGGAGAGCCCCGCCGCGAACTCTTTTTTGGTGGACTCGCTCATCAGCTCGGGCAGAGGCGAAGCGGGAGGTGGTGGAGGTGGCGCTGGGGGCGGCGGCGGCAGTGGTTACTACGCCCACGGCGGGGTCTACCTGCCGCCTGCCACCGACCTGCCCTACGGGCTGCAGAGCTGCGGGCTCTTCCCCGCACTGGGCGGCAAGCGCAATGAGCCGGCTTCGCCTGGCGGTGGTGGCGGTAGCGGGGCCCTGGGCCCCGGAGCGCACGGCTATGCGCCGGCGCCCATAGACCTGTGGCTAGATGCACCCCGGTCCTGCCGGATGGAGCCGCCTGAGGGGCCGCCGTCGCAGCAGCAGCAGCAGCCACCTCAGCAGCAGCCGCCGCCCCCGCCACAACCACCCCAGGCCCCACCACAGGCCACCTCGTGCTCTTTCGCCCAGAACATCAAAGAAGAGAGCTCCTACTGCCTCTACGACTCGGCGGACAAATGCCCCAAAAGCTCAGCGGCCACCACCGATCTGGCCCCCTTCCCGCGGGGCCCGCCGCCCGACGGCTGCGCCCTAGGAGCCTCCAGTGGAGTGCCAGTGCCCGGCTACTTCCGCCTCTCTCAGGCCTACGGCACGGCCAAGGGCTACGGCAGCAGCGGCAGCGGCGGTGGCGTGCAGCAGCTCGGCGCCAGTCCATTCCCGGCGCAGCCCCCGGGGCGCGGTTTCGACCCGCCACCGGCACTCGCCTCTGGCTCGGCCGATGCCGCCCGGAAGGAGCGAGCCCTCGATTCCCCGCCGCCCGCAACGCTGGTTTGCGGCGGCGGCGGTGGGGGCTCGCAGGGCGACGAGGAGGCGCACGCCTCATCCTCCGCCGCGGAGGAGCTCTCCCCGGCCCCTTCCGAGAGCAGCAAAGCCTCGCCCGAGAAGGACTCCCTGGGTAAGCAGGGCGCGCCAGAGGGCTGCAGTCAGGAGGGTAGACAGGCAGACCCAAGAAAAGGAAGGAGCAGAGAACCAGGAGTCCGCGCAGCAGCCGGCCAGCCTTGGCCCAAGCTGCAAGCAGGCTGACCTTGTGAACTCGCTTTTCAATATTTGGGCGTGGGGATGCAGTAAAAATTCATGTCCAGCTTAGAGGCCCACACCAAGACATTCTCAGCGCTGGCCCCGGCTCACCCTGACTGGAGGCGACGACACCAGCGAGCAGCCCCCCTCCTGTGCATGATCTTCCCGGTGGCCCGGAGCACCCCAACCCCTGGTCCGGGCCCAGCCTGCACGGCGCGGCCCACGCGGGGGGAGGAGGAGGGAGGGAAAGTGGCTCGCCCGCAGATAGTGCGGATGTTTGTAAGGCATCCAAAATAAGCAGCCGCCAGCGCCAATAAATAAGCCCATTAACCGGCGAAGTTCGAGTTTACGATCCCCCATGCCTTTTTCAAAGTTGCAGGAGGGGCGGGAATCCCTGTTGCCAGAGAAGAAAAGACAAATCCGGCCTGGACGCCGGGGCCCAGAGAAGAAAACTAGAGAGGGGCTATTTCATTTCCCCTGGAACTCAGAATCGCCCAGCTGCATACCCCTGGCTCTTGCAGAGACGCAAGGGAGGGCCCTTGACCCTAGAATCAGTTTTTCTTGCCTTCCCCATTGGCCCAATTATGCCCTTCTCCTCTTCATCATGAGCAATGGAGGGGGGGGGCTGTAGTAAAACAATCCGCTGCCGGTCCCCCATCAAAGAAAGCAGTCCTTTCCCCCAACCTGGAGGCTTCAGGAAATACTTGTCTGCCATAGAGGAGATGAAAAGAATGGCGTTAAGTTCAAGATGTGCAGCCTGCCCTCCCAGGCCTTTCATTCTACAAATACCCTGGCAGCTTTGTGCTTAAACAGGTGTTTGGGGGAAAAGTGGAAGAAAATGTAAATTTGAGGGGTGGGTGTAGATTGAAGGCCCATTCAATTTGCCATGACTTTTGGAGGAACTGCTTGTTCTCCGCAAGCCAAACAGGGGCATAACCCTTCTCTCTGTGACTTGGGGCATCCCTCTTATGGGAAAGACGTCTGGAATTCACCCCCGCGTGCAGCCCGCGTGGCCTCGACTTAACCTTCCCCTCTGTATTCTCTTAAACGCCAGGCAATTCCAAAGGCGAAAACGCAGCCAACTGGCTCACTGCAAAGAGCGGCCGGAAGAAGCGCTGCCCGTACACCAAGCACCAGACTCTGGAGCTGGAGAAAGAGTTTCTGTTCAACATGTACCTTACTCGAGAGCGGCGCCTAGAGATCAGCCGCAGCGTCCACCTCACGGACAGACAAGTGAAAATCTGGTTTCAGAACCGCAGGATGAAACTGAAGAAAATGAACCGAGAAAATCGGATCCGGGAGCTCACAGCCAACTTTAATTTTTCCTGATGAAGCTCCAAGCGATGCTGGGTTTTTTTTTTTTTTTTTTTTTTCTCCCGATGCCAGAGCGCCCGTCCCCTCCCTCTGTCTTCAGCCTCTTCCCCAGAACTCGCACCTGTGTCGGAGCCCCATTCTACCCTTCCACACTCGCCATCTCCCGGGCCGTTACATCTGTGCAGGGCTGGTTTGTTCTGACTTTTTGTTTCTTTGTTTGCTTGGTGCTGGTTTACTTGTTTTCAGGGGGAAAAAGCCATATCGCGATAAATTCTATTGAAATAGATATTGTTCTAAGTGTCAAATCCTGACTGGGCTTGGTTTGCTGTCTAGGGGTCTCAATGCTTGAAATAACCCCTATCCTCCTCCTTCCATCCTTCCAGCTATTTTCCTGCCCACCTCAGACAACCTAGCCAGAAGACCGAGGTCCCACTGTCGGCCCTAAGGTGTCTGGCCTGAGGTCAATGGTGCAAGGAGCCGCCACTGGGTCCGCTTGCCTGGAGGGCTGGGCTGTGTTTAATCAGGGGATTCAGGCCCCTGGGTTTCTTTTTTCTTCTTCCTTTCTTCCTTGGCCAAGAGAAGGGCATACAGGCATAGACATGCAGGTTGGCAATAGAGCTTGGCTTTGGCTGATTGAAAAAGCAGAAAGAGAATGATTATTTTTTCCTTCCTCTGTAAGATATCCCAGCTTTAAAAGAAAAAAAAAAAAAGTGACCAAGAGAAGGAAACTTCTCTTTTAGATTGTGTAAGGTCTTGCATTGCCTGACTAAAATGTTTCATTTACCTCTGAATTTCCATTTTCTTCTGGCTGTTGATAATAATGTAGTTTTGTTTATACGTGTGGAATTAGTGGATTTTTTGTCATTAAAATCGTTACCACTGGTAACACCCGAAAAGCACACCACAATTCTCCCTGTCTTGTGGAGGTTTATTATTATTATTATTATTATTTTACACTTTTTACATCTTTTTGTGTGTGCATGGCTTTCTGAAATTCACGGAAGCTAGGAGGGCTGAGGCAAGAAGAATAAACTAGAGAAGGGAGACATTGTTTGGATTTCCTTTATACTGTGAAGTTACATGCATAAAAGGGTCAAACCTGTAGGTGCAGAAAAGAGAAAAAACCTATAAATACAAATCTGTATAAATGTCTATTATTATGAAAAATTGCCAATCATGTTTTAAGCAAATGCATTCTATCATTATTATAAATGTTAGTTCTAGCTCTATTTACTTCTAATCTTAAATCAGAATAAATTAATATTGTATTGCTGCTGTGCGTGGAAAAAAGACGATGTTTATGTTCTTATAGAATAAAAGCTGTGGAATGAAGCTTTTTAATTTTACCTCTTTTTTTTTTTTTTACTTCTTATCTTCACCTTCCACTTTATTCCATCCACCACTTTTACAACAGGAGTACTAGCCTGAGCCCCCTGCAATTACTTTAGGCATCTATTTAAATATTACCTAGACGGTCGTAATTTGTCTGGGCCCTATAGCCCTGGTGCCGTAAGGTTTGTCGGCTTTTGTTCAGTTTTATGACTTGCTAGTATATCTGGATTGTGGCTGTCTTGGACCAGTGGTTTCAGTTGAGAGGGGAGCTGCATAGGCAGAGGAAGCTAAACAGGATTTCTTTCGGGAGCCCCAGAGAGGCTCGTGGAGGCCAGTTATTTTGCGGGTGCCCAGGTCCCAGATGACCCTTTGCCTAAATCCAGGGGAGCAGGCCTGGTCCGCTGCGCATCTTAGTGATGCGACCGCGGTTAGATGGACCCAGGTCTGGCCGCCCCCTCCCCCAGCAGAGCCTCCCCCACCTGGATGCCCTGGGCAGGGCCACGCATTTCCTGCTCGCCGGAGGTGGGGGGGGCGACGTTAAGGGGGAGGGGGCTCGGGAGCGCGCGTCTCGGCGGGCGGGCGGCTAGGGGAGAGAGAGAGGGGGAGAGCGAGCGGCCGAGGGGAGCGAGCGTGGAGGCCTCCGCCAAAGAACCCGGCTCTGCGCTGTCCTCTGGCGCTTTGAGTCGCCCACGGCTGCCGCCGCTCAGCGGCGGTTCTCGAAGCTGCAAGATTTGGGAAACCAGCGCGCGCTCTGCTCTTTCCCAGCTCTCTTCTCGCCTTCTCCCCTCCTTCCTTTTTCCTTTCTCCTTTGCTTTCCCTCGCTCCCTCCCGCTGTCCCTCCCTCCCCCAAGCTTACCTTTTTGGGGACCGGTGGCTTCTCCCTCCGTGACGGGTTTGTGGCAGCCCGAGGCATTCGGTGGCAGCGGTGGGCGCAGGTTGCCAAGGGACTGGTCCAGGCATGATCTCAGGGTTCTCTCCTTGGCGGCGGCGGTGGCGGCAGCGGCGGTGGCGGCGGCGGCGGCGGGCGAGGGAGCCCCGCGCGGGCAGCACCAGAACTGGTCGGTGATTTAGGTAGTTTCCTGTTGTTGGGATCCACCTTTCTCTCGACAGCACGACACTGCCTTCATTACTTCAGTTGAAATCGTCTCCAGGTACCTGTACGCGCGGGGGCCGGGCCGGGCCGGGCGGGGCATCAAGGCCCCAGTAGTGCCAGGCCTGCGGTGGCAACCTCGGCTTTCTCAGCGCAGGAGCCTCTCTTCTTCCTTAGCGCTGTGCCAGCCAGCAGGCCTCATCACTCCCCTAACAACACCTGGCCCAGAGCAGGTACCATCAGGTTAGTTGCTCCTTCGCGGATGCCGGGGGCGTGGTAAGAATTCTGGGCCCCGGGCCATTCAAGGTCAGGGGCGCTAGCTTCAATCCTGAGCTGCTCCTACTGCAGGCCCGCGCCTGGCCTGGGACCCCGCCATTCCCTTGCAAGGCTTGAACACACACACACTCCTATCTGGGATGTGAGCTCCGGAAAGATCCCTTTGCCAGTGGGAGAGCCAGAGAGCCAGGCCGAGATAGGAGGGATAAGGGTGGACAAGGGCTGGTATCCTGGCCTTGTCACTTAACCCTTCCCTCTGAAAAGGCTCCCTCTGCTCCCAGGAGCCACCTCTTTTTTCTTCCTTCTTCCTTTGCTCCTTCTTCTTTTATCCTTTTATTTTCTTTGCTCCTTTCCCCCTCTTCCCTTCTCTTTATTTTTCTTTCATCTTCTGTTTCTTTATCTGATTCTCAGTCTTGCTGCCTACTCTCCTTTTAAAATCCTGGAGAAGAAAAGGGCTGGTTTGAGAGAAAGCCAGAGGTCTTATTTTTCTCTGGGCGCTTAAGTAAAGGTCGGAGTCTGAAGAGGAAGGGTTTGCGTGGGACCGCTGTCCAGGACGTGGGTTTGGCCTGATGTGCCTCTGTGCAGACAAGGCCTCGGTTATGATCACGACCGGCTGGCGGCGGCCTTGCGTTCCTTCTCCCTGTCGCTAACTGGCTGTCTGGGAGACCGGATTAGGGGGCACCCGCGGTGTCTTTGTGTGCCCACATCCAGGGCAAGGAGGCGTTCACCACCCTCACCCGGAACACGGGCTGAGGCCCAGCCAGACGTAGTGGAGCCAGACCACAAGGCTCCATCGGCTCCATCGGGAAGTTCCTTGCTGGCTCTGCCGGGCCTGCAGGTCCCATCTCACTCAGGCTTTGACTGTGATGGGGGAGCTCGTTAGGGCAGAGCTTGACTGTTTGCTTGCCAGGGGCAGGCACCAGGTTCAGAATATATTCGATCTGGCCGCTTTGTACAACTGGGTGCTGGGCTCTTTCCAGCACCAGTAGGTTCAAATAGGTGAAAGGAATCCTAAATTCTAGAGTCATCGAGATACAAACTTAAATCCTTGTCTTAAGCTAGGGGCTATGGATGAAAACCAGCTTTGACCATTCTCCCCACCGAAAACTGAAAATAATCCATTCCCCTTTCCTCCAAAACACTCACATAGCCTTCAGACTCAATGCCCACAGAGCTGTACTTCCCTTCCCAGCTCAGCTGAGGCCCAGGGATTGTTTTCATTGCTCCGCTGGCCAACCTGTTATCTGAAAGACCGGCACACCCGGTTCCCTTCAACTTCTCTCTGGTATTTTCCGGACCAGTGTATTGGATTTATTTCAGAGGTTTATTTCAAGGTTTTTGGAAAATTCTCAGCCAGGAAGGGGCAGTTTGTAATCACACCCATTTATTGTTTCTTTATGGACATGCAATCCTTTAATAAAAGCAGAAGCAAAAGTATGAATTTTCTGTTTCCAAGCCTCTGGGCTCAAGAGGGCCAATATTTGGTTTTGTGAACCCCCCCCCCCCTTTTAGGCACCAGTATCAGCTGCTTAACACTCAATGCTTGGTGATTATTTAGTAATTCGACTATTGTGGGATAAGGCTATTTAAAGCAACAGCTTTGTATTTATTTAAAAAATACTAGTAATATATCGTGTCTTCTCTGGGTACAAATGGAAAGGACAACCAAGCATGCTCTTCCATTTACAAACAATTACAAAAAGGGAAGTTTTCCTCCAGAGTTAAAATTTTAAATGGAAAATCTGAGTCCCTGTGGACTGTGGGACATTTAGGACACCTTGGGCTGTGATAGGGGTGGGGATGACGCATAGGAATTTACAAGGAAAGGAAAATATTAGGGGGGAGGGGGTTGTAGCGGCCGGGACAGGCCACTTCGCTAGTTCATTGTGTAGGCCACCTTTCTCAGCGAAGCGCGGAGCAGAGGAAGGGGCACACGTTTGGGATCTGCGTGGCTTCCCAGCTTCCCTCCCCAGTATATACTAACAATTGAGGGTCTCAGCCTCTAAGGATAGGGATATGTTTTCATGATGTGTTTTTTTTTTTTTTTTTTTGGGGGGGGGAGTACTCGAACTTTTGGTGAGAATGAAAGCCAAAAGTTAGAAATAAATGCCTGAGGTCGCCAGCCTTGCTGCCAGCGAAGTGGACTAATGAGAAACACACTTCCAAGCATAGTGTTCACACGTGAATTTAATTACCCCATTTTAGGAGTCGCTACTTTCTGTTTGGAATTGTGATGGGTTTTCCTTTTACCTTTTCTTCCAAAAAAAAACAATAGAGGCTGCGGCCTTTTCATTTGCTTTCACCCCCCAAGACTCCAAAGGGTGAGAAATAATCTCCCCAATTTGATCAGGTCAAAGGATGAGATTAAAGTCAATGCCCTGTGCCCGATGCCCCGTTTTAATTTCTAGTCCTGGACTTGAGCTGCGGCCGCCTTGCTTTGGGCCTTGTAACTCTGTAAAGTTACTCGGTTCCGTCGGTAACCGAGGTTGGGCACCGGGTGATGGCCAGAAGGGAGAGAAGAAAGGATCCCTGAAGGGCATTCATACTGGGTGCAGGACCTTTTATTCCAGTGCGGGCTTCCCAGTCCCTGGAGCCTTGGAATCTCTTAGGCGGGACTGCCTTTTAGCAAGCCGAACTCCCCTTCTATTGATGCTGTCTGGCGGTTTTTCACCATCTTTCAGACCTCAGTTTAGGGCCTTGGCGAATAGAGCATAGGACCAGGTCGCTAGCGGCCTCCAGCCAGATGAAGAGGTGCAGAATGCGCTGGGCGAAGGAGTGTGCAGCAGGGTCCTGGGTCAGGGGCCTAGCGCTGCACAACCAGACTACTCTCAAAAGCTTCACCTTGTGGCAGTTGGCCGCTCCCTCACTGCCAGCTCCTGGATGAAACAAGTACGAACTTGGGGGGCTGTCCGGGTGCTAGACTTTCTTTTACCGCAGGCTGGGATGTGGGTGGCAGACCAGATGGTTCCCCCCTAGACAGTCAGTCCCTGCTGGGCGAGCTCTGGCAGGGGCCAGTGTCTACTCTACTTGGGACCCATACTGCGTTGGATTTGACTTTTCGCGTCCGGCCAGGGGAAGACTCCCGAGGACCGCAGGGATTATTTACAGGGAGCTCGCCAACCAAACACAACAGTCTAATTTAACCTTTCCAAGTCCTCGTAAATTTTTACAGCTGGGAGCCACGGCGAGGCAAACGAATCTGTTGGTCGTTCCCGAGTTCCCAACCAGTCTGTGTGGCTTCTGAAACAATAACTCCTTATGAAATATCATAAATATAGATTTAAATACAGTAGAGCGAGAATGCGATTTGGCTGCTTTTTTATGGCTTCAATTATTGTCTAATTTTATGTGAGGGGTTCCTCTGGCCGTAGTCGCATGCGGGACCCGCGCCTTCCTGATGGCGTGATTAATTGTGATATAAAATAGTCCGCTTAAGAAGTGTGTGTGTTGGGAGGGGGCAGGGGAGAGAACAGAGGCAAGGCCAGATTTGATCTTTTAATCTTCGTTGGCCACAATTAAAACAAACCCGATCGTGGAGCGGCGTGATCCCTTTGCATAAAAACATATGGCTTTTGCTATAAAAATTATGACTGCAAAACACCGAGCCATTAATAGCGTGCGGAGTGATTTACGCGTTATTGTTCTGCCGGGTGGACACGTGACGCGCGCGGCCAATGGGGGCGCGGGCGCCGGCAACTTATTAGGTGACTGTACTTCCCCCCTGGTGCCACCAAGTTGTTACATGAAATCTGCAGTTTCATAATTTCCGTGGGTCAGGCCCGGCCGACCAGGCGCGGGACACGGCAATGGCCACCACCGGGGCTCTGGGCAACTACTATGTGGACTCGTTCCTGTTGGGCACTGACGCGGCCGACGAGCTGAGTGCTGGCCGCTACGCGCCAGGGGCCCTGGGCCAGCCCCCACGGCAGGCGGCGGCACTGGCCGAGCACCCAGACTTCAGCCCGTGCAGCTTCCAGTCCAAGGCGGCGGTTTTCGGCGCCTCGTGGAACCCGGTGCACGCGGCGGGCGCCAACGCGGTGCCTGCTGCAGTGTATCACCACCACCATCACCACCACCCCTACGTGCACACCCAGGCGCCCGTGGCAGCGGCGGCGCCGGACGGCAGGTACATGCGCTCCTGGCTGGAGCCCACGCCCGGTGCGCTCTCCTTCGCGGGCTTGCCCTCCAGTCGGCCTTATGGCATTAAACCTGAACCGCTGTCGGCCAGAAGGGGTGACTGTCCCACGCTTGACACTCACACTTTGTCCCTGACTGACTATACTTGTGGTTCTCCTCCAGTTGATAGAGAAAAACAATCCAGCGAAGGCGCCTTCTCGGAAAACAATGCTGAGAATGAGAGCGGCGGAGACAAGCCCCCCATCGATCCCAGTAAGTGTCTTCTCCTCCAAATCAGCCGCCGCCTCCACGCCGGCCCCCCGGATCTGCTGGCCCGTCAGCTTTCTTTGAGCCTGCCTTCGTCCTTGCTGGGAACCTCCCCGAGCTGGGACCGGGAACCAGAAGTTGGTGTTTGGGACACCTCAGACGGGGCCCCAAGTCCACAGAACTGTGACGAGCAGGCCTGCAGGGCTGGGGAAAGGGGAGGAGGCTGCTGCAGCGAGAGGGGGCGGGGCGGGCGCTACAAGCCGAGCCAAGACCCGCCGCCCCTCTACTAGGCTGCCCAGGCCCAGGACTGAGCTACTTTGGGCCGTTCTTCGAAAGCAGCGCAGCGGAGAGAGTCTTTTGTGCAGCTAGCTTGTTCGCGAGCGGCGGCAGCAGCAGCAGCCGGGCAACCCGACCCCGGGACTCAGGGGGACACGGTCGATTCCATCCACTTCTTGCCTTCAGCCGGTGGCGGCGTAAATCCTGCCTAGGATGAGGCTGCGGGAGATCGGGCCGCAAGGGTCCCCTTTCCAGATTATTCAAATAAGCTGGAGACGTGATTAAAGGCGTTGGGGCGCCCTGCCGGCCAGCCTAGCTTTCACGGCTTTCCAGGAAGGTCAAATAAGAAGTGGGAAGAGTGGAGGGAAAGCTGGGGAAGGAAAGACAGAGTCAGAGAGAGTCAGAGAGAGTCAGGGAGAGAGAGAGAGAGAGAGAGAGAGAGAGAGAGAGAGAGAGAGAGAGAGAGAGAGAGAGAAGCATTCTTAAATCTTGCCACACAAACACAGCGTCTCGTTTCCCTCTGCGTGGCCCAAAAGGAGATCTGTTTCTAAATTTCACTCTCTTAGAATGTGCAAAGAATGGGAAAAAGAGGCAGGGACAGAAGGATAGAGGAGAAAGGAGGGCGGTGGAGGGGAGGGGGAGCCTAGGTTTTACTGCGGGCAATTGTAAGTGACCGTCCGTGCGTCTGTCTGCCAGGGTTCCATTGTGTCCGAAGCTGGGCTGCCTTCCCTAATCAATTCAGCAGCGTCCTGCATATCGACCAGACACCCAGGAGGCTCCCTCGTACCCAGCGAGGGTGCTTCTCCTTCTAAACCCAGTGTCTCTCTCCTCCGCAGATAACCCGGCTGCCAACTGGCTTCACGCACGCTCCACGCGGAAGAAGCGCTGCCCTTATACCAAACACCAGACGCTGGAACTGGAGAAAGAGTTTCTGTTCAACATGTACCTCACCAGGGACCGCAGGTACGAGGTGGCCCGACTGCTGAACCTCACCGAGAGGCAGGTCAAGATCTGGTTCCAGAACCGCAGAATGAAAATGAAGAAAATCAACAAGGACAGAGCAAAAGACGAATGATGCCATTTGGGTTATTTAGAAAAGAGATGCGCTAGAGAAAAAAAGACAGGACTGCTTGTCCCCTTGTCCCTGTTCTCCCCCAACCCCAGCCTCCACCACCCTGCACAAAGCGGCTCTAAAACCCCAGGCCTCATCTCCCCCCTGGCAAACCCTGCTCAGGCTGGCTCCTAGGCCTGCAGCTTTGATGGAGGAGGTATTGTAAGCTTTCCATTTTCTATAAGACAAAGGGGGGGGGTGCATTAGCGCTGATGGCTGTGTGTGCTAGCTTGTATATATTTAAAAAAATCTACCTGTTCCTGACTTAAAACAAAAGGAAAAACTACCTTTTTATAATGCACAACTGTTGACGCGGGCTGTATAGTTTTTAGTCTGTGTAGTTAATTTAATTTGCTCTTTGTGTGGCAGATCGCTCTGCCTAGATACTTGAACACTGTGTTTTATTGTGGTAATTATGTTTTGTGACTCAAACTTCTGTGCTGGGTGATGCACCCGTTGTGATTGTGGAAGCTAGAATTCAATTTGAACTCAGGTTGTTTATGAGGGGGAAAAACAATTGCATAGAGTATAGCTCTGTAGTGGAATACGTCTTCTGTATAACTAGGCTGTTAACCTATGATTGTAAACTAGCTGTAAGGATTTCCCAGTGAAATAAAAATTTTAAAATGGGGGGAGGTTCTTCAGGATGCATAGATTGATGGTTTCTCTACTTAAGAAATGCAGGCATTTTAGTCTCTACATATGCTTTATAGTCTTATCTTGTTCATGTACATATAATCTATATATTAAAGAAAAAGTTCATAATCAGACAAGCTTGAATATTGTTTTTGCACCAGAGGAACAGTGAGGAAATTCGGAGCTATACATATGTGCAGAAGGTTACTACCTATGGTTTATGCTTCATTTTAATTGGGGGAAAATGCTTATTGTAATGGAATTAATTTTATTGATAATAAATTATACACCACAAAACCGCCATTGGGCTACTGAACATTTGTATTCTTGAATAATTTGGGTTTTCCATCGGGCTGAACATACACTGTATATTTTGCAATAGTTACCTCAAGGCCTACTGACCAAATTATTGTGTTGAGATATTTAACTTTTTGCCAAATAAAATATATCAATTCTTTTCTATTTTTTTTTTTTTTTTTTTTTTGCGGGTCTGCTTTTTGCACCTTCTCCGCCGTCGGGAAGTCTGGGCAGAGTCTCTGATTGGAGGCCAGACTAGGGGTGTCGGGGAGGGAGATCCCTAATTTTGCGTCTAGCCTGCGTTGGAAGCTGAGACCTGCCAGTCACGGCGGGGCCTAAGCTTTCCCAACGTAGCCAACTGCCAGGCGGCACAAGCAGCGGAGGAAGACTGACTAGAAAAACACGAGGCCTGGACTCACGACCTTGTGTCTATTCACTGGACCGCAGGGAACCTCGGACGAGATGGGCTGGGGCCTGGGTATCTCTGACCAGTACTGGTCAGTACCGGTGGAAAGACCACTTGTTCATCCTGGTGCCCCAACAAATTTCCCAAACTCGGGTCCACAGCCGCCTGCGGCCTTTCCTAGCAAGGTGGGAGGAGTGAGAAGCGCAGGACCCACAGGGCCCGCCTCCTGAGGAGGCTCTGAGGAGGGAATCGCAAACCTCACCCGCCATCGTGGCTGCCCGCTCACGCAGCTGGGGACTTGCACGGGATTCAAGGCCTGCGCTCTCTCCCCACTACGTCCTGGAAGCCAGGCCCGGGAGAATCTGCATCCTGCCCCACAACCCCCTCCCGAGAGCACAAGTCCTGGCAGAGGCAGGGCCCAGGCAACCGAGGAGCCCCGAAGCGCCATAAAAGAAAATGAGGGCTGTTACCGTTTATGGGGTGTAAAGGGCTGCGGAGGGAATGGCCACAACTTCGGAGGCCCGAGCGCTTTCCAGATGTGGCCGGAGGGTTCATCCTCGCTCCCCTCTTTTCTTCTCTCGCCCTGCCCCCCACCCTCCGTGACTCCTGCAAAGTTGACCGTGTTCGGAAGCGTGAAAGAGGAACCAGGCGCGAGTGGATGGAGTGTCCCCTCACCCCCACCCCCACCCCCATCCCGCCGCCAAGTTGGGACGCACTCTGTTGTTGTAGACAGAAGGAACTTCAAAGAATGGGCAGTGAGGGTGCGCCATAAAGACCGGGTCTGCGAACTGTCTGGAATTCGGTCCTTAATGAGTTTACAACTGTCCAGCCCCAATTAGGATATTCCACCAAAGCCCTTTCATTTGTTTGCTCTGTCTGCCGCCGATAAAGCGGTTGCGGAAACAGCTCTCTTTTATGGGCATTACCCGCTCCGCGGCGTAGATTCCAGGCCCCACGCGCCACCCCTCCCCCCGCCCGGGACTGGGTCCTCGCCCCGCCCTTGGGAGTGAGGCATTTTGTGGACCGCAGCCGCGGTTACCGAAGTTCAGGCTGGCCCGGGCTTCGGGGGCTGCAGTGCCAAGGTAAGGCCAGGAGATGGCAGTGTGGCTCCACCAAAGAGGTGCTTGAGCCGCCATCTCCGGCCACCGCGACCCTGGGAAGCTCCTAAGATGTCGACTTGACGCGAGCCTTTCTAGAATGGGAGCCCCAGATTTAAGTGGACAACAGTCATATATTATTGGTGCTACTCATGCCAGGCTGGAAGCCTTCCTGGGAAGCATGCATGCGGTGGGTGCTTGCCTGACCCTCACCGCCCGCGCCTCCTAGGCCCCATCCCAAGGGCACAGCGCTTTGGGGCTGCAGCTCCAGGCGCGGGTAGACTCCAGGGGTCACCGCCCTCAACCCAGCACAGGCTTCGGGGCAGCGAGACGCGCGGGGAACCTGGCTCATCGGCAGATGGACACAAGGACCAACGTCTACAGCCCTCGGACCTGATGAACCCACAGAGGGAAAGCAGAGGGCGCACACCGTGACCACGGGTTCCCTGGCGGCCTCGGAGGCACCGGAAACCTGCGCGGTGGTTCAGGGCCGGGTTCAGGACCCAGAAAGCCAGCACCGGAGAGAGCCAAGACCCCGGGACTCGGCCGGTTTGAATACGTGACAATAAAATTAGGCGGGTGAAAATTGGGCGTGAAGCCATCATTGGTGAATGTCTAGAGTAGATTAGCCGGGAGTTGCTTGGGAAGAGGAATCTTTTGGAACTGACCAGGAACTATTTGGTTGTTCTAAAATAAATGTGATGTTTAAAATAACAATTATAATATTATCCAAGCTCCAGAATTGGCGCGCGCGCACGTCGTGGAAACATCCTTTACTTTGGCTGCGGTATTTCCTTGACTTTAGGTGCAGAGATTACTCTGGCGACCCTGCTGAGCAGGCCAAAAGGAAGGGACCCCAATCCATGCTCAGTCTATCCCTATGCTAGGTGGGGAACATGCTTCGAAGCCTCTGCAAAGGCCACCCATAGCCCGTACTGGAGGATCAGCCACGGGTGTAGAATGGTTTCGGAGGGAAAACACAAAAGCAAACCGAATCCTTCGAAGCACCCCGGAGCCTTGTGAACACGCCGCGCGGTGCATTTATTTGGGATTGTAATAGTCTCTGCCAAGCCCACAAAATGTTTACAACCTGCATCTCCTCGCTGAACATGCTGTAAAACTGGGAGCTAGGTTTGGGCTGACATCTCTCCTGGGGGTTTGCCTCACTCGCTTTTTCTCTTTCTCCTTTTTTCCTATCTATATATACATGTTAGTATTAGAGGTTACATCTTCATTATATTTCTGTATAAAATGCATACTATTTCACAACATCCGATTGTAAGAAGGGTTTTATAAAGCTTCCCCAGAGTGACCCGTGGCCGTATATTGTGTATTCAAAACTGCAGATAGAAAGCTTGATTTCTGTAACTACAAATAAATGAAGTCACAAATAGGTTGCACCGCTCCTCTCCACTGATCACAAAGGAACCAGGTAAGTGCAGGCCTCCCAGAATCTCTGAGGCCAGCTCCGGCAGAGCCTCCTTGCCCTTGGCCAGCTGGCGGCTGGGAGGCTGTTTGCTCTCTCGGCTGCCTAAGAGCTGCATCCCGCAACCGCTCTTCGCCCAGACCAGATTCTGCACCAGACGGAGCTCATTTGCCCGGGTCGGGAATGGGTCTTTCCCTGTGCCCTGGCCAGGGACCTCTCACTGGATGGGGAACGGAGGCGAGAGGCGTGGGTAGAAACATTTAGAGAAGGAAATCGCTTCCTGACTCTCCTGACTCTCAGGGCCATTCGCTTGGGACAGCTGGGTTTATATATTTAACTGGATTTAAATATCCAGGACTATTGTTAACAAGAAATGGGAAACACTCCGACAGTAGGGGAAAAGCTTGCTTCAAGAGTACAGTGGGAAATTATCTAAAGATAATCAATTTGGCTGATTAGAAACCAGCCTACAAGGGCCTGTTCCAGGCCCGGCATCAACAAGGATTTCCATGATTATAATTACACATAACCCAGTGTATTTACATCTTTTTAGTCAAATAAGTAGGTAACCAATGGCTCAAGAACTCATGATTAAATAGGTTTTATTGAAAACCTCTTTTTGTTAGGCTGTTTTCGTTTTAAAATCCTTCCACAGGAGGCAGGACAGAGAGAAGCACAGAAAGGAAAGAGAGGTTGAGGTGCCTGCGGGAGTGGCCCAGTTGACTGACTTGGGCCCAGAAGAACCTAAGCCTTTCAGGCAGCATCTGGATCCTCCTTGGCCTAAGGAGAGGAGCAGAGCTCCTGCCAGGATTGCTGGGTTGCAGCTGGGGGGCCAACCTGGGGCAGAGATAGGCATGTGGAGCTTGCATACAGCTTTTTCTTGAGGCGGGTGAGTTTCTTCCTGCACTCCCTGAAATCATTCCCCACCGGGCCTGTAGGATCCCCCTACCTAGGGCAGGTTCTACTTTAAAGGAGGTATCTTTCAGCCATCCCAGCCGCCTGAGTCTAGACAGACTGTTGCGGCAGAGCCAGGTCTTTTTCTTTGCGTCTTTTTGTGTCACCGGAGGAACAATTTATTGGTCTAAAGCTGTCTAATTCTGCTTCTTTGATCTCTTCTTGTTGCTTCGTCTTCCTTTAGCTAACTTAGGTTTTTATCTCTCTCAAAAGGCATTGTTATTTGGAATTTTTTTCTTCCTGTTTTATGCCCTTCATGTCCCATCTGAGATTCTGAGACTGTATCATCCTGACCCACCATAAAGGGCATCCCCGGATATTGTTCCTCTAGGTTCTCTGTACCCCCAGGCAGCCCCGGAGCCCACCTGCCCCCACCTCCCCCGCCCAAGTATGAGCCCTTTACTGGACAGAAGCTGGGGATCCTTGCTGATTTGAACTATCTTACAGCCTTTTGTGCCCCAGGACCCCCTGAGAGGGTGCTGTGAATAAGGGGGCATCCTGGACCCTCTAAAACTGATGAAGAGTGCTTTGTACACAAGGAACCAAACTCTATAATTTAGAGGAGAATTTCCGGAGCAATTCCATTGTGAGGTCGGGTTTATGGTGTGCAATCGAGCTGGGCAGTAAAAGGTGGCCAGGCTTCCAGTGCGGCCTGGGCAGTTTATGAGGCGTTTAGAGGAAGGGTTAGCCCAATCATCCTCTGCAGAACAGTGGGCAGCAGGGCTTCAGCTGATCCAACACCGCAGCAGGGCAGGGAAGGTAGGAACCGTGGGTTGAGGGTCTAAATCAGAAGAAGTAAGACTACTATGCACTCAGCTTTCTGTGAGCTGGGTACTTAGAAAGGTAAAGCCACTGTAGCTGGGTGGTGTGGGGGGAAGGCTCCCATATTTGTTTTTGTTATCTCCTAAAGAAATGGGGTCCACAATGGGCTGCAGTCCCCAGATGCCTGGATCCCCTTTCCTGTCCAATTCAGGTCTAAAGCATTTATTGCTCCCAGGCATCCAGAACCACAAGGTGGAGGTCCAGGGTTGGCTAGGGTGAAGGCTGCCTGGAAAGGTGTGTGGTGGGAGTCAAGGTTCCTCCAAGCTGAAGGGAATAGAACCAGTTCCCCAGTGAGCCAGGGGGGGGGGAACCAGGGGTTGTGGGAAGGACAAAGGAGTGTTAAGCCATTTATTGGTTTGCCGGAGGCTAGCCAGGTGCTCAGGAGTGAAAGCACAGAGCCTGTAGGGCCCTGGTGTCCAGGAGGAGGGAGGAGAACCTCATGCTAATAAATCTGTTGGCAAATGAGGCTCATTAATAGATAAATATTTCACTGCTTCCTTTAGTGCGGATAAACTGTGCGCTGCCGATTAAGGAAAGGAAGCCGGGAGAGGTTGAGTTTATTCGAACCACATGGTTCCAGTTTGCGGTGGCATTCTCTCTGCAGCTGAAAGCGACGCTGCGCCTGCCCGGTGTGGATCAGAGTTTAAATCTGGCCTGTTGCCCATGGAACATGATAAAGACCTAGGCAGAATAGAACTGCCCATAGCGGAGCCCTGCCTGGGAGGCCATAGGGTGGGCGGGTGCGCAGGGTGCGGAGAACCTCCAGGGACTGGGTCAACACACAGAAGATGGACAGGGAAGATCCACACGGTTGGTCTGGGGTTCGCTCCTAAGTATGAGGAACTGTGCTGCGCGGACACTGCCCAGAGTCCGCAGGCTCAGGCGCCTGAGTTGGCGGCCAGCCGGGTGCTCCCGCGGAGCCTCGGGGTCCTGTTCCACAGGGTACTCCAGGGTCGCCTGGCACTGGCGGATTCGTTGGTGGAATATTTGAGCCTCTTCCCCTTCCATTCTAGGCGGCCGCGGGTCCCGCGGAGCGAGACCACCTGTGAGGGCTGCTGAGATTGGCGGAGGCGGTCATGTGGGCGGTCACGTGCTGCCGCGAGCTCCGTCCAAAAGAAAATGGGGTTTGGTGTAAATCTGGGGGTGTAATGTTATCATATATCACGCTACCTCGTAAAACCGACACTGAAAGCTGCCGGACAACAAATCACAGGTCAAAATTATGAGTTCTTCGTATTATGTGAACGCGCTTTTTAGCAAATATACGGCGGGGGCTTCTCTGTTCCAAAATGCCGAACCTACTTCTTGCTCCTTTGCGCCCAACTCTCAGAGAAGCGGCTACGGGGCGGGCGCCGGCGCCTTCGCCTCCACGGTACCGGGCTTATACAATGTCAACAGCCCCCTCTATCAGAGCCCCTTCGCATCGGGCTACGGCCTGGGCGCCGACGCCTACGGCAACCTGCCCTGCGCCTCCTACGACCAAAACATCCCCGGGCTCTGCAGTGACCTCGCCAAAGGCGCCTGCGACAAGGCAGACGAGGGAGCGCTGCACGGCCCAGCCGAGGCCAATTTCCGCATCTACCCCTGGATGAGGTCTTCAGGTAGGCGCAGCCACCAGGCGGGGCGGGCGGAAAAGTAGCCGGGAGCTCGGCGCTCGGTAGCGCGGGGCCAGAGAGAGCGGAGCCAGGCGGCTGTGTGCCGGCGGCCCGTGACTCCCGGCGGCGCTGCCTTTCTGGTTTTAATTAGAGCTGAGGCGCCATTGCGTGGAGAGCCCATAGTATTGTATGTAAATGAGGCTCATAAAACTTTTTATGGCCCAATTAATGGATTCAATCCTCGTAAATTTATTTAACTCTCTTTGCCTTGAAATTTTAACATTAAGTTTGTTCGCTATTTTCCCTCTCTCTCTCTCCTTGTCTCTCTCTCCTCCTCCCTCCCTTTCTTCTTTTTCTCTCCCTCCTATTCCTTTCTGCCTGGCTTTTCTTTCTCAGAGGCCGAAAAGCCAAGTCCTCTGGGGGCCTCTCACCCACCCCTGTGCCAGGGGCCATTTCAAGACGTGGGCCCGGAGGGAACTGGGACAGAGGGTCAGAGTGCCCTAGGAAGGTCTGGAGACAGGGGCGAGGGTTGCTCAGGAGGGTCGCCCACTTGCATTGCAAGGCTGGGGAGCAGAGGGGCTTGCCTTTGAATGGCAAAAGTGCAGCGGCTCCTATTTGCCCACACTCTATATTTACAATTTCCCTTTGTCAGGGGGAACCAGGATATTGTGGAAGCGTAGCCGGCTGGAAAGGTCGGTTGTAAAGTTGGGATTCTGTGCCTTTGCTCCTTACAGAACTGCCTACACGTCTGGCACCACAGTTGGAGCCTTGTGCTAACATTCCCTCTCCTCCCCCTGTTCCGTTCTCGGTTGCGGGGCAGAGCCGGTTTTACGGTCTGGGCAAGGAAGAAGGTGCAGGCTCTGGGATAGTAGCCTGGCTAAAGCACTGTTCTGTCCATGTCCCTGTCTGCTTGTCTGTCCATGTGTCTGCATTTCTACTCTTAGGACCTGACAGGAAGCGAGGTCGCCAAACCTATACGCGCTACCAGACGCTGGAGCTGGAGAAGGAGTTCCACTTCAATCGCTACCTGACGCGGCGGCGCCGTATCGAGATCGCCCACGCTCTCTGCCTCACTGAGCGCCAGATCAAGATCTGGTTCCAGAACCGCCGCATGAAGTGGAAGAAAGAACATAAGGACGAGGGTCCATCCGCCACTGCAGTCCCTGAGGGTGCAGTGCCATCCGCTGCTGCTACTGCCGCTGTCGCGGACAAGGCCGATGAGGAGGAGGAAGATGAAGAGGAGGACGAAGAAGAGGAGGAATGAAGGGCCACACTGGGGCCCTGGCTGCACTGGACAGTCAGAAAAGCGTCTTTGAGAAACTCACTGGTTTTATTTACAAAAATGGGGAAAATAAAAAGAAAATGTAAAAAATAATAATAAAAATAAAAACACCCTGACTCCAACCCGCACCCCACCCACCCCATCACCCACCCTAGTTCCCAACTTTTCTGGACTGAGTGGCCACTGAGACTAGGTCGCCTTGGGATCCCCTCTGCCTATGAGTATCCCAGTAGATACCCCAAACCCTAGGCCAGCGCTTGGCTCTGGCATGGCCAAAATACTACCTAGCACAGGCCTCCTTGAGAGGCAACCCCCAAACTACCTATGGGCCCAGCCCCAGTGGGCCTCCACTCCCAGGAAGCCCCCTTCAACACTGGCAGACACCCAGCACCACCTCCTATACCCTTAAGAATGGTGATTCTCTCAGTACTACCTACTAGCCCCAAACTACCTATTTTGTGCTGGCTGGCTTGCCTGCTACTTGGTGCCGGCCTCTCCCAGGCCAGGCCCCTGCTTCTCCCAGTGGACTGCCTTTGAGGCATCACTGAGAAGGCATGGGGGTCCAGGGACCAGGGCATTGGCTTCTATTTAAATTGAAAAATAATATATTTCTTCCAAAGCATACTATGTGCTGCAACCTAGAATCCCTCTTTCTCTGGCTTGGGCACCTCAAGTTCAGGCCCATCACCGCCCCCACTTATGGAGGGAAGCATTCCTGAGATGGCTGCAGACCTCTGGGTTAGCTTCTGCTTCATAGAATTGCAGAGATGCTCCCAGCCTCCCTGTCCTCTTCCTAGCCCCTGTGTCCTACTGTTCAGCCATGTCAAATATGTACACCCTGATTTTTCCTACAATAACAAATACTGTTTATTTGAGGTTTTTTTTTTTTCTTTTGTCATTTCTGTAGTCTTGGAGCTCATTTACAAAGGAATGTCTTGACTTGGAAAGGATGTGTTAATGGGGTGACTTTGTAGCATGGTGTGTTGTCTTGAGCTAACTCTGTAGTGGCTGGGAGGCCCGATGCCCTCCCTGATGCCTTTCATCTCCTGTGTTGTCTTGTGTCCCTCTTAGCTCCAGCCTGGGGTTCAGGGAAAATATGCTTCCCAGCCCAGCTACTTGTGTTTTATGTAACAAAATAAAGATGCTTGGTGACAAAGAAACATGGACTACTTTATCCAAAAGGTTGGGGAGAAGAAAAGGTGGCTATAGCTGAAGGGCAAGCCCTGGGTATGCCTGTTTGCCCAGGATGGCAGTAGGGAAGCAAAAATAGACTATCCTCCTATCCAAATGTTGGGTGTACATGTATTAGTGTATAAGTGTGTCATGTATCTTTTTATGCTTTATGTGTAGATTTGTGTGAGTATGCATGTGCCTATTTTTGCATGTTTGTTTTTCTATACATGCTGTGTATATTCTCATATAATTTCATAATTGTGTATATTTCTGCATCCACAATTGTGTGTATATCTGTGCCCATAATTGTGTGATTATTTCTGTGTCCATAATTGGGTGCATGTGTTTTTGTGTGTCCATAATTGCACATTTTCCGTGTCCATAATTGTATCTCTTTGTAGAGATTTTTGTCTGGTGTCTCTGTGTGCAGAAGATCACTTGAAGACGGAATCTATGACAGATTCATTATGTTCTACCAACCTCCCTAAAAAACTCCACAAATTCCATAAGAGAATTCGAAATCTACCCTCTCCTCTAAGGATGTGGAGCGGACTCAGAAAGGGACATCATCTACCCTACAACTGATCCCCAGATTCTGCACACCCTCTGACCCAGCCCCAGGATAGGAAATAGGATTCAGGGACTCTGCCGCTGCACCTCCACTCTGTCTTTAGAAGAGGCTGAGGGTGCCCTAAGGTTCAACACGCTAGCGGAGGGGTTCGGAGAGAAGCAGGAACCGCAAAATTGGCTACGCAGCCTCGGCAGGGGCATCTCGGTGTTAGGGAGGGGGCGAAAAGCATCCTGAGCTCTGCCAGCGAAGACCTCCATTCTATCTCTTGCCCGGTGGGGCCAGCTTCTTAGAGCTCTTTTAATAAAACCCGGCCCAAAATGGTCTGTAAAACCTGCGGCCCCAAGTAGGGGCCGCCTCGGTGGTAAGATGGCGCCGGTGTAAGAGCTGCCTCCTCTTAGTGATGGGGAAAGGGTCATAAATCCGTTGTTGTTTATGAAAATTTACAACTTTGCAATACAACTTTATGAGTTGTTCGGCCCTTCCATTGGCCGCTGTCGGTCATGTGGATAGGAACCGTGAACATGAACTTTTTTATAATTTCCCTTGCGAGAATAGAGCCGCATTCTTTTGCTCCGCTCCATCCTGCCTGCTTCGGAGCTCGGCCTTCCAGTCCCCGCTGGTCCGCGCTTTGTCCCGCGATGGCGAGCAAAGGGAAGCCCCAGGCAGGCCTGGCCGGGCTGCTCGCGCTGGAGGTGGGGCGCGCCCAGGTCCTGGCGCCGCAGCGGCCGCTTTGCAACTCGCAACCTGGCTAATTTCCTGCGTCCTCTGGCACCAGGAAGGAGGACAATTCGTCTCCCGGGCTGCCCAAGCGACAGCTGTCAGAGGGGCAGGAGCTTCTGGCAGCCGCCATCTGAAGGTGAGACATGTGGGAAGGAGACAGGAGCAAAGGTGGTGAGGTGCTGCGCAGGGTGAGAGAGGGAAACCAGCACGGCTTTGAAGGGGAGCAATGCAATACCCACCCTCACCCCATACTCCCCTGTTCACACTCGCCTGCATTACCCACCATAGCCCATTGTGACACACACACATACACACTCATACACACACTCACTCACACCCAACACCACCATCAGCACCACTCCCTCTTTCTCCCTTCCCTGGCTCATCATGTCAGTAAATGCCATCTTCCCATCGTGGCACCTTCTCATCGACCCCATGTTCCTGGCAGCAGTATTTGAGTCTTCTCTCGCCCTTTCTCCACTGACCCCACACTCTGTGTTTCCTGCCAGCTTCTCGGTTTGGATATTTTTGTTTCTTTTTTCATTCATGGCCCAATTGGTTCGATGGAATTCTCCAACAACAGGAGATAGTTCCCAACCCGGGAAGGTGGGAAGAGGTGAGGACAAAGTGAGTTAACCCAGAGGCATCAAAACAGTACTCTCTATTCCATATAAATTGGTTTCAGACAGAAAGGAACTTACTAGTTCAGCCAGAGTTCTCCGCAGATTGCCTGCATCCTTTCCCCGGTTTTGCGATGAGAGGTGTCTGAAGCTCTGAGGGAGGGAATAGGTGGATGGGTGGAATTCTGTGTTGAAGGAGAGGATGGGGTTAATTGTCTGGTTGTTGCTTGGTGGGACATTTCGGTGAAAAAAAAACAAAAACAAAACAAACAAACAAACAACAACAAAAAAAAAACACATTGTGGTGTTAGTGTGGGTGGCAGGAGCCAGCCGCTAAGGTTGAAGGACGGATGCAAACCGAGTCTTGGCAATAACGGGAACCCCCCAACCCACCTGGCACAAGGGTCTGGCGTCCACTAGCCCCACCTCCCACAAGCAGGGAGAGTACTGCGGACCTAGTAGAGTGGAGGTACTGAGGGTCTGCTAGCGGTGGCTTTGCCTAGCGCGATGATACGAACTGCGGCTCAGTTGGTGCGCTTCGGCCCGGATTTGCCCCGGGGAGCTCCAGGGACAGCGACAAGAATCAATCCCGAGGTTCTAGGCATTAATTCTTTTTATTTGTTTTCTCCGTTTTGAGAAACCTTGGTATGCACTGGATAATTTAAAAAGGAGTGTAGATGTTTGGGACGTTCGCCCGCGCGGTGGGTGCGCTTGGGGCAGATAAAGCGGCGAATTTGCATGGTGGGGCGTCCGGCTGCCTGACTGCGGCTGCCGCGGGCAGATTATTTATTGCGACCGAGTCGGGGGCTCGCTGCTGCCACGCTGTGGCCGTCGCCGGGACCGGCGCCAGCCGCAGCCCGCCTCTTACAGCCTGGCGCGACTGCTCTACCGGCCCCTCAGAGATTCCCCAGAAGGCAGTGGAGAGGGGGAAGAAGGGGGTCTGGGGGCTGTCTCCCAGGGTCTATTTGGCTGGGAAATCTTGCTGCCTCCGCCACCCCTGACAGCCGGACGCCGGAAAAGACTCGGGTCCTCCCTTCACCCTCACCCCAGCACCATGGAGACTGGTCGCACAGGCCGCCTGGCACATCATGGCTGCTTCTGTCCAAACTGCGCGTCCCAAGGCGCCCTGAGGGCGCACGCCGATTGGGGGAACACGCTGGCTTTGGGATTCTGACATTGGAAAGACCACTTGTGGTCCTGAGGCCTGCTGGCCTGGCTGGCCCTGAGGAGAATTGGCTATGGCAAGGAAGGCGGGCTGTGTCTCCAGGAGAGGGCCTGTGAGGGACAGAGGCCGCACCTGTGTGTTTTGGGTTCTGATCCTGGCTAGTGATTTGGCTGAACGGAGGTGGGCCTTCGAGGTCCCCACACTCACACCAGCAGGCCAACCTCCAGGTTGGTGGAAATGGAGGAAGTGGACGGGTAGCCCAGGGCAAGGGTGGACTGTGTGACCCTATTCGCCATCCTGCCCCCGTTGGAGGAAACTGAAAGGTAAGTCTGCTTTCTGTGTAGCAATGAGAGAGAAGAGAAATTCCTGGGACGGACATTCTCACCGTCCCAGGAGAGGCTTTATGGAGGGTCTACGGAGACTGTGAGGTTCCTATTCTTGCTTGAGTGGGTCTGTCCAGTGTGCTTGCCTGCCTCCCCCCCCTCCACCCCATATATATATACACACGTGTGTGTCTGGTCAGAGAAATAAATTCGTTGACTGCCAACATAATATGCACTAGCCTTGGGTAACATGTAGATTTTAATTTAATATATTGTCCCTTCTTAGTGCTTACAGAAGCTAGAAATATAACGTTTTCTGACTCTTAGCTGAGAAATCAAATTCTCTTTGAAGGCTGTGACAATTATTAGATCAAGAATCTGGGTCAAAGCATAACAATAATAGTAGTAAAAAACTACAAGCTCCAACATTGTGTGGGACATGGAGAAACAAAAGAAAATTGTAAATGTAAATATTTATCAATATTTGCAAAACGATTATTTTCATTTTAAATAATAGCTTTCGTGAAATCACTGCCATCTAATGATTTTAAGAAACAATTACAGAAATACGATATTCTTCAAACTTGACTTTTTGAGAAAATAATTTCCTTTTTACGTTTTGATTCCTGAGTTTTCATTTTCACCTATTAGATCATTCCCCTGAAGAAATGTGTAGGAAATGACAAATTTTGTCTAAGAATGAACCTTCCTTCTATGCAAAGGTAAAACTTTCTCCAGTGAGTTTGATCAAGACACTGGCACAAGGCTTCCTGGCAACCTTCATGGTGCATGGGCTTTTTCTGATTTTTTTTCTCCCTTTGGGCAAAGGGAAGTCAAGGAAAAAATCAAAAAGTAAGGAAGGGATTAAGAAAGTCGTTCACAGATTCCTATGGGAGCATTACCACTTGTCACTCCCCCAGCTAAGTCCTGAACCCCATTAGCCTGTGTTGGCCAGAGTTTTATAGATCTGACAAACAGCCTTCTGAAATCAAACCAAATCACGTCAATACTCTTTCTTCAACCTCCACAGAATTGAGGATTTTTAAAGCTAATTCAAGGGATTTTACAAGCCTAACAAACACAGTCTTAAAAATGTCATTGGACCAATATCACATTTTGCAAAATGAGATTGATCCCTGTGCTGTAAAAGGCAACTATCTTGAATGTACACCTCTCAAGCAAGAGAGAGTAGCCCAGAACTGGTTTTTCATGTCCTATCTGGGGACTGCCAGACTTCGGACAGCGGTAAAAGCAATTTAGGATTTCTGGAGCCGTTGAGACAACTATTCTGGGTTCTGGAGCTACTGCTTGTGGCAGCTCCGGGAGTAGTCTCAGGAAGGACAGGAAAGAGGGTACAACCCACACAGTGTGAGCTACTGGGGCTCCTGAAACCAAGCCCATTAATTATCCCCTGTCCTTAGGCCCCACCGGGCTAGTTCTCTCTGCCCTGCTTGGCCAAGGGCCCTGCATCCCCTCTGCCTCTGGAATGAAGAGGGAGCAGGTCTGCATCTGGATTTGTGTCTGTCTCAGCTCTGAGCTGTACAAAGGTGGAGAGTCCCCCATGCTGGGTGAGGGGAGCAAGTCCCACCTCTGGATTCAGATCTCAGTCTCACAGCTGTTCCTCTATGGTCTTTTCTTGTTGAGACAGTGGTTTCTGGTCTCTCCATTGCCGGGGTTCAAAGACAGGATGGGAATGCGCAGTTGCTGGCGGTGCTTGCTTTGAGACCAAGAAGGCAAGGGCCATTGCAGAAGAGCCCATCAGTGCTCAAGACGTGTTGTATGTGGGAGGGAGAGGCAGCAGGAAGAGCTTAAGTTTGGCCTTGCGCTGGGTAGTTGTGAAGTGAGCTTTCAGCCCTTGGCTGCAAGGCCCAGACCTCTGGTTAGAGTGAGAAGGAGAGAATAAGGGGTTGTATGGATTTCTGAGGTACAGGAGTGAAGAGCAGACAGTGAAGGCCTGGCTTCTAAGAGTCCCTTGTCTAGCTCAAGAACCCACATCCACAGTAGGGGAGCGCAGTGGGAGGGGCAACTCTGGGCCGTGCCTGGAGTGCAGGCCAGCAGGGAGCAAAGCCTTCCGTGCTGCCGCCCCTCCTGGCGCGGGGTTGTCAGGTTTCCTGTTTGGAGGAAAACCCCAGCAAAATCCAACCAGGCAAAATGAGGAGGAGGAAAGAGCGAGCCTGGCTGGGCCTTCCCGCGGCCTGGACGCTAGTTCCCCCTACCCGGGTCTGATCTGCACATCCCTGCCCGGGCCGTGCCCGCCGCTGACGTTCGGGGAAAAGGAGCTGAGCCGGCTGGCTGTGCGCGCCCATTAATCTGCCGGGCGGGCGGGCGGGCGGGCGGGCTGGGGGCTGTTTGTAACTTTGCTGCCTCGGTCGCCGCGGTCCCCGGGGAGCGGGCTCCGGCGCTCGCTCCCATTGGCCGCCGCTGCGTCAGCTGGTGCGATTTGCTGCTGTCGCTTTTGGCGTTCGGCCATCCAGAAACAAACCAGTTCGATGACTACTAATAGTTATAGCCAGATGTACTAATACACAACAAATCACAGTCCTGCAGAGGGGCGCGCAAATGAGTTCCTATTTTGTGAATCCCACTTTCCCCGGGAGCTTGCCCAGCGGCCAGGACTCCTTCTTGGGCCAGCTGCCCCTCTACCCAGCCGGCTATGACGCGCTGAGGCCCTTCCCGGCCTCGTATGGGGCGTCGAGTCTCCCGGACAAGACATACACCTCACCTTGTTTCTACCAACAGTCCAACTCGGTCCTGGCCTGCAACCGGGCATCCTACGAGTACGGGGCCTCGTGTTTCTATTCTGATAAAGACCTCAGTGGCGCCTCGCCCTCGGGCAGTGGCAAGCAGAGGGGCCCCGGGGACTACCTGCACTTTTCTCCCGAGCAGCAGTACAAACCCGACAGCAGCAGCGTGCAGGGCAAAGCCCTCCATGACGAAGGCACCGACCGGAAGTACACGAGTCCTGTTTACCCTTGGATGCAGCGGATGAACTCCTGCGCTGGTAAGGCTTTTCCCTGCACCCCACCCCACCACCACCACCCAAGACAGTGGAGGGAGAGGGGAAAGGAGACAGGGAAAGGAAGAAGAAAGGAGATAGTGCCAGAGAAAGTAGGAAGAGGAATTAGAGAGAGTGGAGGAAAGAATGAACAAAGTTTCTTTGGCTTTTTAAAAATCGATTTTTAAAAAAGAAGAAAACTATTCCCAATGGAGCCATCAGGCTGATGCAAAGGAAAGCAAAGGCAGGGTCCTTGTAAGGTGATACTTTAGGGGAGGGTGGGGGGAATCACTACCAGGCTGTGTGAAAACCTTGACAGGGGCAAACTTGAGGGAAGGTGGCAACCAGAAAAGGAAGCTGGTTGGGAGAGCCTGCCCCTGCTACACCTTGGCTGCATCCTAGTCGGGTTCCCAAGAAGACTGGGCCTCCTTCGGACGTCACTGATAACTTCTTTCACCTCCCAATTCCCTCTCCTTTCTGCCCTTCAGAAACCCAGACAGAGAGGGCCCCCCATTTGACCTCTTCCAGTGTCTCCTCAAAGCCTTTAAGGGCCACATTCTCAGCCTCAGGGTCTCTCTCTCTCCCTAGCTCTCTCTCTCCCCCTCCCTCCCCTCCTCCCCCTTCCACTCAACTGCTCACTCTTAGCCAACTTCTGCCTCCTTCTGAGCCTTACACTGGCTTGGGGGGATCCTCCCACCCTTGGGAACCTTTGGCAGCAGAACAGGCAACCCAACACATCCCTATTGCTAGAAACTCCAGCTCACCTATAATGCCATCTTTTTGGCCCTGGTTTTCAAAGACTCCACCGGGAATTTCTCCCCCCTTGGAGGGAGACAGAACCTAATGTGGATTTTAAAACTTAGAGTTTTGCTGTAAAAGTCACTTTTCCCCAAGTGGATCTCTGTATTTTTCAGATGGGTCATATAATTTGGGAGAATTGCAGAGATTTATCAGGGCTGACCATATTTAACTTTCAAAAAAAAATGTTTTGAATCTTGACATTGGTGGCCTTAGTAGCGTCCTCACAGAGACCAATGTGTGAATTCAGTGTCTATACTGCTCACAGGGTTCCACTCCCACTCACCCCAAGCACACATACTATTCCTCACACATACAAAAATTACTCTGGTGTTCCAAATTAAGAATGTTATTCTATTATTTCCCTTGTAATTGTTTTCTTACAAGCCAAAAATTTCAAAAACTGTAACTTCCCATTCCAAGTCGTTTAAGGTGAAAAACACCTCGCTTGCTATGAAATATCTTCTCCATTCAGCCCGCTTTCATCCCCAGATGTAGTGGGAGAGGCTAGAGAGGAGGCGGGGTGGTTTCCAGCCCAGAGGCCCCTGGCGGGAGGCAGGGAACTGACTGGTTTGGCCCTCGGGACCTCGCTTACCGGCACCCGGCCATTTCTGCCTGCAGGTGCGGTCTACGGGAGCCACGGGCGCCGAGGCCGCCAGACCTACACGCGCTACCAGACGCTGGAGCTGGAGAAGGAGTTCCACTTCAACCGCTACCTGACGCGGCGCCGCCGCATTGAGATCGCCAATGCGCTCTGCCTCACTGAGCGCCAGATCAAGATCTGGTTTCAGAACCGCCGTATGAAGTGGAAAAAGGAAAATAAACTCATCAATTCCACACAGCCCAGCGGGGAGGACTCTGAGGCAAAGGCGGGCGAGTAGATGCCTGGGCAGAGACCAGGCCAGCGCTAGAACCTCCTTCAGCTTTGCCCCTTTGCCCTTGCCTGCTCCCTAAACTTTTCTCCCCGCCTGCTCCCATCCAGGGGCTTCCACAGCTTTGGGGGGTGCCAGGAGCTTTGCAAGCCCTGAGCGTTTATTTATTACAAAAACCAAGAAACCCACACACGGCAAATCCCAGCGGTCGAGCGGGGCGCACTGTACACACACAGGCCTGTTCCCCAAGGCTGCCCAAGACGGCTCCGGGGTCCCAGGGTGCACTCAGAATTCATCTAGGCCCCTGTTAGCATCTCTGGGCTCTCTGAGCTCAGACTGCGGGGTTACCGGAAAGAAAGAGCCCCAGGCTGTGCCCCGTTTGGTGTTTGGGCGTCTTTGCCGCGGTCCCTCAGCATTAAGTCCTGACGGGTATCACCAAGTCATCTCTGGCCACTAGAAAGACAGGGCCTAAAGGCTGGGGCCCCAGCTTTTTGGCGGTTTATGAGGCTGCCCCCAGGAACAAAAGGGCCACTACAGAGTCCAGTCTCTAAGGCCCGCGCACAACCGTCAGTGGAAAAGCAGCAGCCTCAGTCGTGAACAGCCAACCTGGGAGCCGGTGGAACATTACAGCCCCGGAAGCAACTGGGCTCCCACAGGCTCCCACTCCAGATTCCAGATTCTTCCTCCGACAGCGCTGGCGCCGCCACCAAGCGGCTTTCAGAACACAACAAGGGGGCCCAGGGCCATGGGAGCAAGAAGAGTCCTGGCTTCCAAACGTGCCAGGGGCGCCTCGGATGCTGGGCCTCCAGTGGAGAGACTCCCCTCGCCTCTTAGTTGTATTTGTGATTTACTTTCGTCTTTCAAAGCCCAGAAAAATAACTACGGAGATATTATAACTAGGCACCGCTGCGAAATGATTCCATTAACTTCCTCATTTCATTCCTGGAGATCTAAGCAAGACCCCAATAACTCGACCCGCGGATCCCTAGGCCCCAAGCAGCCTCTGTGGCTGAGGGAAGCGTGGACCCATTCGCTGGGTTCACCGAGAACCCTCCGACTTGGGCCCGGGCTAGCTGGAGGAAGGCAACCCGGTGGTGAAGATTCTCCAGGCTGGATACGTAGGCAAATCAAATAGGAAACTAATGACACGAAAACCATATTTACAAGAAAGAAAAAAATCAACTCTAGTTATAAAAGTGTATGGAATTTGACCTTGCCTCGAAGAAACACTACACAAAAGCTATCTTTAATAGACGCCTGTCACTTAAGAGCGGCAGGGACACTGTCCCTCATGCGCTCGCAAAAACAGAGCCGTAATTGTAGCTGCTGCTGCGGGCAGGATTTATTTCTTCAATTGGCTAAATGGCCTCCTCCCCTTCCCCGAAGGTGATATCTGTATTTCAAAATTCAGAGCTGCCGGCAGGACGGGTGGAACCGACCCCAACCTCGACACAAAAATAAGAGGGGCTGCAAAGCCGGGAAATAAAGTTGTTGTAAATAAATTCCAAGTCACCACCTCCCCCTAATCCTCTGCATCCTCGCCGGGCGCACGATCGGCAGCTGACGGCCTCACAATTGGTACATCCTAATGGAACTGCGAGGGAAATGCAATAATTTTGCCATAATGGGCTGTAACCTCAATTCGACCCCGGCCCTTGCAGCCCCGGGTCGGAAGCGGAGCGATGCGCCCTGCGTCCAGCGGGTGGCGCTCGAGTCCGACTGAAGGGCGGCAGCTGGTGACGGGCACGCGCCCGAGGCGCGCGCGCCACCCCTCTCGCCTCCACCCAACTCGCCCATTAGTGCGCGAGTTTACCTCTAGAGGTCATCAGGCAGGATTTACGACTGGACAACAAAAGCACGTGATTCGAAGTCGTACCCCATATTTGGGTGCCTACGTAGGAGGGAACCAAGTACATGTCCCAGTCATTTCCATAATTCATCATAAATTGTGCAAGGGTGCTATAGACGCACAAACGACCGCGAGCCACAAATCAAGCACACATATCAAAAAACAAATGAGCTCTTATTTTGTAAACTCATTTTGCGGTCGCTATCCAAATGGCCCGGACTACCAGTTGCATAATTATGGAGATCATAGTTCCGTGAGCGAGCAATTCAGGGACTCGGCGAGCATGCACTCCGGCAGGTACGGCTACGGCTACAATGGCATGGATCTCAGCGTCGGCCGCTCGGGCTCTGGCCACTTTGGCTCCGGGGAGCGCGCCCGCAGCTACGCGGCCGGCGCCAGCGCGGCGCCCGCCGAGCCCAGGTACAGCCAGCCGGCCACGTCCACGCACTCGCCTCCGCCCGACCCGCTGCCCTGCTCCGCCGTGGCCCCCTCTCCAGGCAGCGACAGCCACCACGGCGGGAAAAACTCCCTGGGCAACTCCAGCGGCGCCTCGGCCAACGCCGGCAGCACCCACATCAGCAGCAGAGAGGGGGTTGGCACGGCGTCCGGAGCCGAGGAGGACGCCCCCGCCAGCAGCGAGCAGGCGAGCGCGCAGAGCGAGCCGAGCCCGGCGCCGCCCGCTCAACCCCAGATCTACCCCTGGATGCGCAAGCTGCACATAAGTCATGGTAAAGCCAGCCTTTTTCTAAATCCACGCGTCCGCTGGGGCGCTGCTCCTGGTCCCCCTCTCTCCTTGTCGCTCTCTCTGTGGTTCTTTCCTAGTCTTGCCTTTCCCAGCCCTGGAGCTTCTCCCTGCCATTCTTCCCCTGCCTTCATCCTTCTTCCTCCTCTTTTCAGCAGCACACTGTGCTCGCAAATAGTAAGGGAATGAGCTGGTGGGCAGGCAAGTTTAAACGTTGAAAGTGAGAGAAAGGGGGGGAAATCCATCTCAAACCCCAGAGCCTCTGAATGCGCTACGGGGTCTGGAGAGCCGAGCAGATAGCAGAGAGGTAGAGGATGGCAGTAGGGGCCGTGAATCGGGCTTGTCAGGGCGGATAATTTATGAGGAGGGCTACCCTGGGAAAACAGCCTTACTAATTACAGCCCCCCAAAAAGGATTGGGGGGGAATAATCGAGGCGAGGGCCGGCAGGATTCTGAAGTTTGGGGGTAAGAGGGAGACAGGAGGAAAAGAAGAAAAAGAAAGCAGGCGCCCCCAGCATACAGGATGGAACAGGAGGCGGCTCTCGGGGCTGGAACTTTAAGGGAGGGTGACCTGGAGGCCACTTAGGCACTCAGAATAGGGCCGTACTTCGGCTGGTTTCCGAGGAGTGGGCAGCCTGTGAGGGCTGTGCCCCCCAGTCAGGGGTGTCCAGGGCAGGGCCAGAGGGCAGAAAAGGGGCGAGGGAAAGCCCGGCGGTCCTTCGGGACACGGTTCCAGCCTATGATGGGCCGATTGTTCCCAGAGTTCAAATCGTATTGTTTCTCTCTAGAAAGGAAGAGGGAAGGAAATTCGGGAGGGGAGGGTGGACAGGCAGAGAGGGAGGACTTGTTGAGTCTTTTGCCCAGGTTCCCTGCTCAGGACCCTGGCTTGTCAAGCTGGTGGACTTTGGAAGCCAAGGACTGAGGAGTTGGTGGCTAAACCGCTGACTTTTCTGTTGCAGACAACATAGGCGGCCCGGAAGGCAAAAGGGCCCGGACGGCCTACACGCGCTACCAGACTCTGGAGCTGGAGAAGGAGTTCCACTTCAACCGATACCTGACCCGCCGAAGAAGGATTGAAATAGCACATGCTCTTTGCCTCTCCGAGAGACAAATTAAAATCTGGTTCCAAAACCGGAGAATGAAGTGGAAAAAAGATAATAAGCTGAAAAGCATGAGCATGGCGGCGGCGGGAGGGGCCTTCCGCCCCTGAGTATTTGAGCGTTTAAAGTACTGAGCAGTATTAGCGGATCCCGCATAGTGTCAGTACTAAGGTGACTTTCTGAAACTCCCTTGTGTTCCTTCTGTGAAGAAGCCCTGTTCTCGTTGCCCTAATTCATCTTTTAATCATGAGCCTGTTTATTGCCATTATAGCGCCTGTATAAGTAGATCTGCTTTCTGTTCATCTCTTTGTCCTGAATGGCTTTGTCTTGAAAAAAATAGATGTTTTAACTTATTTATATGAAGCAAGCTGTGTTACTTGAAGTAACTATAACAAAAAAAGAGGAAAAAAAACACACAAAAAAGTCCCCCTTCGACCTCGTTTAGTGCCAATGTTGTGTGTTGCACTCGAGTTGTTTAACTGTGCATGTGCGTGGAAGTGTTCCTGTCTCAATAGCTCCAAGCTGTTAAAGATATTTTTATTCAAACTACCTATATTCCTGTGTAATTAATGCTGTTGTAGAGGTGACTTGATGAGACACAACTTAACTTGTTCGACGTGTAGTGACTAGTGACTCTGTGACGAAAACTGTGACTCCAAGCGGTGTGTCCCTGCGTGCCTTTGTAGGACCCTTTGCACGAACTCTGGAAGTGGCTCTTATAAGCTCAGCTTCAGTGATGTATGTTTTTGTGAACAAAGTTACAAATATTGTCCAAGTCTGGCTGTTTAAGCAAACTGTGATCAGCTATTTTTTTTTTTTTTTTTGGTATTTGTTTTTGAGGAAAAAATACTGACTGGAAACAAAAAAAATAAACTTTCTATTGTAAGTTCTCTTGGTCTGGTTTGTGCCAAACAGTGAGCGGCTCTTTCTGCTTTTCTGTCTGTCCAGTCCTGGAAGTTGGTGAGCCTGAGGCCACCTGAGCAGCCTGCCTGTGCATGGAGGCCTCAGACCATCCTAACCAGCTACCTCCCTAACTTTGACCCATCAGAAAGTTCAGGGCAGAAAGTGGGAAAAGCAAAGCTGTTCCAAAGTCCACTATGCCCATTTCTGAGGAAAACAAGTTAACTTGCTGGGTACAAAAAAAGAGAAAAAGGGAGAGAAAGAAGGAGAAAAATCCAAGGGCTTTGTTAGCCGCCCTTGGGGCCCACATAGACCCTGCCTCTTTCCTTAGGCCTCCACTTGCTGAAGAGCCTGCTATGCCAGGTTATGGACCCCAAACCCCCTGCCCCTAACCCATCCCAGCACCCCTTCCCCACTCCTC